AAAGAGTGTCACAGAAGCTGGGAGGGTGGTCTGTATTTTCGGTCTTACCATAGAGGAAGAGCATTGGGTATGTTCAGCTGGCTTTAAAGAAAGGCAGACAGAAATAAGCTGTAATAAGTCTCCAATCAAGAGCCCTAGTACACTAGGTCTTGGCTAACACAGGAGCAACAAAATGGCAGAAGAGGGCAAAAGGGAGTTTGAAAGAAATGCACAAGAGGCTGGGCTTATTCCCTAGGACGCCCAGGATCAAAGCTGGCCATGGCAGAAGTAGGTACAACTCCCATTGAATTTGATGTAAGCTGTATCCACTACCACCATATGTGAATTGCACCCAGTATCTCCTGAGTGCTAGACATCCTGGCATCCAGGCAGTGGAGGTACTGATATTGTTAAAATGTTTCTTGTATCACTATTATCAAGTTCAATACAGGATCTGATTTAGCTCCCCAACTCAGATCCAGGCCATGTCTACACAGGGACCAGCCAGCTTCTAGTGCATCAGTCTGATTTGTAAACCCATAATATCCCAGTGCTAAAGCAACACTTTCTATTTACAGATCCCCATTCCCTTACATGTAGTTCTGAGCGATAACGTTGTTACTAAAACAATGGGTTGGGACAGTCTAATCGCCTCTTGGCAACCCTACAACACCCACCACCAGCTGTGGAAAGTGGGTTGGTAAAGCTGGTTAGCTTGCTGTACCCTCACTCACCTCATAGCAAAGCTCCAGAGACCCAATGGATGTGTCCTTGGAGGCCAAGCTGAGCTGAGCTGAGCCCTGGTCATGCCTGGAAGAGCCTATTTGCTGCAAACACTCTGCCTGACATTCCTTGATTAACTTCTGGGGCCATTTCCCGTACTGAGAGCAATTCTAAAAAACACCCAAGGCTGCAAATACCCTTAGGTGTAAGAAGCAGAATTGAAAATTAAATAAAACCAGCTTTATCAGGAGTCCTTCAATTCAATAGATTCAATAGTAACATAATCCTTCAGGCCTAACCTCTACCATATGCCCCATATGCCAACTCTGTCTGTCATTACTTCCTGTGACTACATTAGCAAAGCCGAAACTGATGTATTTCTTCTTCTGCCAGTAGCAGAATTCACCTCTAGTGCCATGGAGGACTCCTGCAGTGTGCTCCTGCTCTCCAAGGACACTGCAGTAACCAAACTGGCATTGTATTACCTAAATAAAAACTGTAGTCTGGATGCACAGCCTATTTGGTGATATAGGCAGATGAGAACAATTAAAAACCCAAGGTACACCTAATCATATAATAGTCTTTTGGGTAGCGTCAGCTTTCATTGCTTTTATCCTCCTCTTTCACATGTTTGCTCTTGTGTTTTCTTTTCAGATCACATACAGGCAAAAGTTGACTTGAATACCAAATTAAGGAGCGGTGCCCATAAAGACGTTTCTTACAGACCAGGCATAGATTTAGATTTTGTGTTACTGGGTAAACATCTCCTTTCCAGCAAAGAGTTTCTCTGTCGCATCCCCCTTCCTCTTTCTAGTTTTGCAAATCATCTTTTCTAACAATAGAAGGACCCTCATTCTGCTAGTTGCTGCATTCCTGGTAGAAGGTACAAAGCCCCTTCAAACTAACTGAAGGAAGCCCAAAAATTTTCAGCACCTTTCAGGATTCTCCATCCTTCCTGGCTGACAGTGTTGGTGCATCTGTGACTGACTGGCTGAAGCAGCCTTGTAAGTTACTGTGGAATATTATACCTTAATTGCCGTTTTGATATTGTTGGTATTTCATCAGAAAGTGCAGATAATAGTAACGTACAGAGTAAAAAAATCTGTATAAAAGGATATGACTATAGAAGGCACTGTTGATATGGGATGCTCAACTTGGAGGAGTTGCCATCACATTGAAAAACTAGAAACCAAAGGTTCTGAGTATCTTTGGCACTGATAAGAAAGTGAAGTAGAGGTTGTCTTACTCCTCTCTTATTGCCTGAGCTAACTGGCCTGTGTTTTAAGATGGAGTCAAATATGTAGCAAATTATATCATTACCTACAGTAAAGGCTCAAAAGCAGCACAGGAAAGTTTCCGTTAACACTGGCAGGTGGTATTTCTACAAACTGTAGCACTGTGGGCTGAGGTTCTTGATATGCTTGTGCATACAGTATTTTGTGCATGAGTATGCCAGGGGGATATCAACCCACAGCTGCAGGTTGCTGAATACATTTTCTGATATCCACCGACATTTCAGAGAGGAGCCAAATCCTACCATTTTCCACCTGTGCCAAAAAGTCACCAATGGACCTGAGCACGGATATCTGAGGACCCATTACTGGGACTTTCAAGCCATTCCTAACTGTAAAGCCGAGAGAGCTATTGCTAGATTTTCTGAGAATCTTCAACCTTGCAAGTGATGTGGGTATGCCAATTTTAGGGCAAGGACAGGCACCTGGCACCTGAGAATGTAGTAGTCACATCAGTTCAGAGGGATGGAGGCATGGTGATAGGTACTTGGAATTAAAGCCAGCATCTAATGCCCATCTGAAGTGGACAGGATTTAACTTCTACAAATCTCAGAACAATGTACAAAAGTAAATCCTCATCTGTTTAATGTCTTTGAAGGAGCTTCTGAAGAAGCTACACCACTTAACAGAAGGCAGCTTTGGCTGTACTCTGTTTTACTTGAAGTCATCTGTTCCCCTGCATGTGGTCTAACCTGCAAAAGAACTTCAAGTATTCTACCCTGCTCTTGCCATTTGGGGCACAAGTAGCATGCACATAACTGAATGAGAAAGGGCAACAACAATAACAGCGAGATCAGTCAAGACATGATGCTCTGCACAATTTCTATCATAGAGAAAAGGAACCCGAAGTATAAATCACAAACAAGTCCAGGGGCATACTAGGAGTGATGTAGAAGGGAACCTGCAGGCTAAGAGTGGGAAGAGAAATAGGTGAAGCAGGAAAGCAGGATGCGTCTGTGTAAAGACACTCAATGGGGATGAGTGCAATGAAACTGCTTGGGCCATTTCTTCTTTTTTTTTCCCCCTCTTGATGTCACCATATTAAAAAAGAGGTGCTAAGGAGCAGAAGAGGTCAAGAAACAGAAAAGCAGGTTCTAAAAGCCAAAGCAAAGATTCAGTAGGATAAAGACTGAGGGATCCCTGAAGCGTGTCTGAAAAGCTCCTTCGAATATTGTTGCCTGCATATATCTCATTTTAACTATGTTCAGTGTGTACCAGAGCACCAGCATTTTAAACAGACACATTGCTCAAGCTGCTGCATCCTTAAAGCCCCTACAGGCACAAAAGCGAAAGGCACAGCTTATGCCTATCATGAATTCGGGATCCCAGGTAAGAAGGTCTCTGGGAAAGAAGACAGGTTCATTCAATGGAGAGATACTTAAAATCTCAGAGACCACAGCACTGAATAAGGTAACTGTACTGTGTTCCTGCTAATCGTGCTTCACCTGGGTAGGTGGGAGTGAGGCTTACTGGCAGCTATTTGCAAAGAACATACCACCTCTGGATGGGTACAGGGAGCATCAGAGTCTCCTGAACCTCCATACTGACTCACATATCAAACTTGGAGTCTGATCTTGCCATCAAGTCAAGGAAAGTTTATAACAGGTTGTGTTTATGGGTTTCCAAATCCTGATTATAACATGAATGCTTTGGAAGCTAGGAGAGGATAAAATTTGCACTCCAGGAGAACCAGTTTCAATGTTTCAAGGGCAATATGTAACAATCAATATCATACGATGTTTGTGCTGTAATGTAATCCATTCCAAAATTCTGAGAAGGGATGACTTGCCTCTTCAGAGCTGTAAAGACAGGAGCAAAAACATGAGCAAAAAGACTAAAGGCTTTGTAACGTCATGGTAGTATCAAAGCCCCTTGAAATATCCATGGCTTAGAATATCTACCAGATGGATAAAGATTTGGCAGAAAATAATAAGGTATGTTAATAAATAGATTAAAATGAAAGCTTCAGTAGAGAAATCCTGAGAAGAGATGTCAATCCCGCCTCAACCCTGTGAAACACTGGAGATGGAGAACCATGTTGAGAGGTTCGAGTTCCCTGGGGTTTTTGGCTGGTTTGCTGACAACTATAATGGCTATCCAGAGAAGTAGCACCTAGAAATGCCTGAAGGGGAGCTCCATTAGGTTTGTACAGCCTAATCAATATATCCAAGGAGGCTCCTTGACTGCTGGGTAAGGATGTTTCAGTAGTTGTATAAGCCTGACTGCCACTGAGATGACAGTAGAGGCAGGCAGCATTCCCATTACCAGCACTGTTGATGGTAGTGATTTTTTTACACCATGGGACACACTGCAGATGATGAGTTCATCTCCTTCAGAGGATCCAGTCTTTGCTAGGAAGTCCAAACTGATTTTTTCCCAATGTTTGAGGAGTAAAACTTCCTTGCTGGTAGTTTTTTTTTACTTTCTAACAAGATTTCTTCCATTTATAGGGGCAAATCTCTTTTGGCAAGACAGAATCCTTTGAAGACACAGTCTTTATGTTGTGGAGAACTTTGGCCTGGCTTGATCTGGGGACCATTTAAGCAGCCAAATGCACGGTGTTATTGTTGCTTTGTTAGTCAGAGTTGTCTCAGTCAATGCAGTTGTACAATGGCAGCCTTCTAATTTTGCCTGGTAGCCCTAGCTTTGAAGAGATGAGAGGAAATCTGTGTTTGAGACTTTGGCACCATGATATGACAGAGTATCTTCGTATTTCTCAAGAAAACAAATGGTCAGATGCTTATGTTGCCTTTTGTGACAAACAATCTATAATGGCATTTCTCCACTGAGGAAAATATGGCTTGTGGATGAAGCTCTTAGGAGACTACTTGCAGTAGTCAGTTGTTGGTGATGGGTGTCTCCTAAGATGTTTCCTTGATTGCTGTTGACATATGGAAAATGAAAAGTTACCCATGAAGATGCCGTATGTGTTGGAAACTTGTCCATTGGTCTGTTAACCTTCTCCCATGAGGAAGGAGGTGATAGATGTTCACTTCTTGCTTTTTTCTGTTCATTGCAGGAAGGGTGCCTCTGAGAATCCGCACTGTAGAGTTCACCTGAGGAGGCTGCAGTGATGTGTAGCTCCTT